CGGTGAGTACCTAGGGCAGGTAAGCACAGCCGTGAATGCAGCAGACTCACCAAGTGTTCTCACCACTGGCCCTCAGTGGGCAGCAGAGCACGGAGAGTACACTGGGACAGTGTGGTGAAGATGGAACAAAGTGTGAGGGGGACAATGGAGCCATGCAGGGCTTCAGGTGGATGAAGCCAGGCAGTTTTCCTTTAGGGGCAGTAGGAGACATTGGGCACAGGTCACCCCACACTCCCACTGATTCCTCAGGGCAGGCTAGGAGAGCCAGCGAGGAGGAGGTGGCCCTAACCCAGAAGGTGGCCCTGACGCAGTAACAGAGCCAGACCAGAACTGGGACCTAGGCACGCTGGAGGCTGATGTGAGGTTAAAGTGAGAGCCCAGCCTGGGGCGTCCACAGCCTCAGATATCTGGCAGACTCAGGGAGCACCACCTAGAGGGCCCTGCACCTCACCCCTGCCCACTCAGGGCTCTGACAGCCAGCAGGACTCACAGACACACACTGGCATTAGGAGACAGCATGTAGACATTGTTCTCACACAGCGGGTAGATGATGATGGCCTTGCCCCAGTACACCAGGTGAGCCGCAAGTTGGAAGACCTGCGGGCAGAGAGAAGCTGGGAGGACCATGTCTGGGAGGCTGGCTCATAAGGAGCTTCAGCCTGGGTGGCCACAGCCTACCTGCCCTGAAGAAGCTGGTTCTGGGCTTGTGCAGCACAGACCTTGTGGCCATGGCCCCTAGGGCTCTTTTCTGGACGTGCGGCAGCACCTTCCCAGCCTCTCACCAAGCACAGCCAGCACACAGCATTTTCCTTGTCAGGGCCTTGTGCTGTTTTGGCTCCCACTGAGAAGTGGTAGTCTCAGGCCAAGGCAGCAAGCCCACAAGTGTGGGAACGTCTGTAGTGCTGGGGACACAAGGCCTAGCCAGCTGGGCAGGGGGCTTGGCTGGATGTCCTGGAAGAGGCACAGCCTTCCCACACCCACCAGAACCCCAACATAGCCTCCCCCAAGTGACGATGGGTCTGGAGTTACTCAGCATGCACAGCCAGCTTCATGAGAGGGGCCAGGTCTGAGAGCATGGCACCGTAGCACTTCACAGAAAGGTGTGGGAAATCCCAACCACCCAGCATTTCTGATTGCATCACCCCAGGATACCATTCCATCCTTTCAGCAGGTAGGCCTCCACAGGGTGAGCCACCCCACCTGGATATAGCACCTGCCATGCTACTGACAACACAGATCTCCAGTGGCACCACCAACCCCAACGTGGCAGGTTTCTGTTCCATTGCTGCCCTCTCCTTTCATTCTAAGTGCTACTGACATGCACTCTCAAGCAGATATGCCCATGTTTCTCCATCTCTGTCACCATCCAGACTGACGGTCTCCACTCGTGCCTCTCTCTACAGCAGCCTCACTACTCTCTTGGCGCTCCAAGCTGCTCTCCGTTCTGGAGGCCAGACATCCAAAACCAGTACCACAGGGCCAGAATCGAGGTGCTGACAGGGCAGTGCTCCCTCCCCAAGCTCCAGGAGACTCCATCCTGCCTCTTCCAGCTGCTGGCATCTCTTGGCTTGTGGCCACATCATGCCAGTCTCTGCCTCCATGGTCACATCACCTCCTTCACTCTGTAGTCAAATCTCCCTCTGCCTCTCTCTTAATAAAGGCCCTAATGATTACACTTAGGGCCCACCAGCATAATCTTCCCATCTCAAGATCCTTAATAACATCTCCAAAGGTCCCACATGAGGTCACATTCAAGGTTCTGAGAATTAGGGCGTGGATGTTTGTGGGGACCATTATTTAGCGATTACAAGTAACGTACAATGACATTCTAATTTTGTTATTCAAAAATAATGTTTGGCCGGACTCGGTGGCTCAGCCTGTAATCCCACGCCTTTGGGAGGCTGAGGTGAGTGGATTGCCTGAGCCCACAGGTTCGAGACCCGCCTGGGCAGCGAGACCTCATCTTTACAATAAATCAAAAAAATCAGCCGGGTGTGGTAGCACATGCCTGTAATTCCGGCTACTTGGAAGGTTGAGGCGGAAGGATCGCCGGAGCCCAGCAGGTTGAGGCTGCGGTGGTTGGGAGCGGCCACTGCACTCCAGTCTGGGCGACAGAGTGAGACTCCAACTCAAAAAAAAAAAAAAGAAAGGACATGTTTTCTAACTAGCACCTGCTTGCAAATATTATTTTTTGAGTCATAGTTATTGGAACTAAATTCCAATTCAGCTGAAAAATATAGTGTCTCTGGAGTTTTCTACTAATCCATAATGTTTCAGTAGCCATTTTGTTTTTATATATGTTTGTCAGAGTCTCGTTCTGTTGCCCAGGCTGGAGTGCAGTGACACACTCATGGCCACTGCAGCCTTGACCTGCTGGCCTTAGGCGATCTTTCCACCTCAGTCTTCCAAGTAGCTGGAACTACAGGGGTGCACCACCATGCCCAGCTTTTTTTTTTTTTTTAGTTGGAGTCTCATTCTGTCGCCCAGGATGGAGTGCAATTACATGCTCCTGGCCACCGCAGCCTTGACCTGCTGGGCTCCGGCGATCCTTGCGCCTCAGCCTTCCGAGTAGCTGGAACTACAGGTGCACGCTACCACGCCCAGCTAATTTT